GAGGAGGAAGAGGAGGAGGAGGAGGAGGAAGACGAATACTACGCATACGACTACTACTACTACTTCTACTACTACTACTACTACTACTACTACTACGACTACTACTACTACTACTACTACTACTACTAATACTACTACTACTACTACTACTACTACTACTACTACTACTACTACTACTACTACTACTACTACTACTACTACTACTACTACTACTACTAGTATTAATAACACTAGTAGTACTACTAATAATAATAAGCATACCACTAATCATACTAATGCCACTACTAGCAATATTATGAATACTAATCATACTAACAAGAAGAAGATCACGAATACTAATCATACGAAGAATACCAATAGTAATAATAACAATACTACGAATACTAATCATACTATTGGGAATACTAAACAAAAAACATAATAATACGTATAAGAAGAGGAGGATGAGGAGGAGGAGGGGGAGGAGGAGGAGGAGGAAGAGGAGGAGGAGGAGCGAGCGGAGGAGGGAGGAGGAGGAGGAGGAGGAGGAGGGGGGAGGAAGAGGAGGAGAAGGAGGTGGAGGAGGAGGGAGGAGGGGAATGGGGATGCGGGAGGGAGGGGGGAGGAGGAGACGGAGACGGAGGCGGGACGGAGGCGGAGGCGGTGGAGGAGGAGGAGGAGGCGGAGGAGAGGAGGCGCAGAGGAGAGGAGGAGGAGGAGGAGGAGGGAGGAGGAGGCGGAGGCGGAAGCAGAGGCGGAGGAGGAGGCGGAGGAGAGGAGGGAGGCGCAGGAGGAGGAGGAGGCGGAGGCGGAGGAGCAGGAGGGGAGGAGGAGGAGGAGGAGGAGGGGAGGAGGAGATGGAGGAGGAGGAGGCGGAGGAGGAGGAGGAGGAGGAGGAGGAGGAGGAGGAGGAAGAGGCGGAGGAAGACCAAGGATTTAGGCTTCTGGATGTTTTTTCTCCTGTTTTGCTTGGGTTCCACGAGGGGGCCTTCGGGGACCTTCTGGGGCCTCCTGGGGCCCCCTCCAGAGAGGAGGTGGAGGACGAGAACGCTGCTGGTGCTCGAAGGATGCCCTAACTCCTTTGAAGGCTATCGGATGCTCACGGAGGCCCCTTGATCGGTGCGCCGATCTCCTGATTCCTGCCCTCCTGGTGCAAATGGTGTTCCTGGTCCTTCCTTCTCCTTCTCCTACCGCCTCTTCGCATCCTCCTGATCATGCGCCCGCCCGCCCCTACTCGTTCCGTCCGAGGTGGCCACGGACCCCTTCATCGGTACGCTGACCTTCTTCCGCATCTACTCTGGGTCGATCCAGTCCGGCGACACGATGATCAATCCGCGCACGAAGCAGAAGGAGCGATTCGGGCGCATGGTGCTCATGCACTCGAACACGCGCGAGGAGATCAAGTCGGCTGCCGCGGGCGACATCATCGCGATCGTCGGCCTCAAGGATACGACCACAGGCGACACTTTGTGCGACCCGAAGGACCAGATCGTGCTGGAGCGAATGGAGTTCCCCGAGCCCGTTATCAAGGTTCAAAGACAATACTCCAGATTTCGTAATAAAGGGAGGGGGGTCTCATTTCGGGGGGGGGTCTCTTCCAGGCTATCTCGGAGGGCCTGGGGGGTCGGACGATGTTTTGGAGGGTTCTCCCACGGGGGAGGTCTGAAATGGCTTGTCTTGGAGGGTCCAGACCCCCTCCCTTTTATTACGAAATCTGGAGTACACGTCATAAGTTACAAGGACAAGCTCTCGGGTCGACGCTGGACGCCCCTCCGCAACCCCCTGAGAGCGCCGTGGGCGGCACCACATACGCTGGCACGGTGATGGCGGGGATGGGGGGTGTCCGGCGCCGATCCGGGAGATCCACGCGGACCCCAGAACGGTGACAGTGGACACCCGTGCCAAGAACATCCTGCTTGCCCCCAGGGTGCTCTAGGTTTCTTGGGTTTCAGTGGTTTTGCTGTGGGAAGAGCGGCGTTCCCACACCAACAATCAATTGACGTCCTGGGGTCTCAGGGTTGGGTTTCTTGTGGACGGTTTCTTGTGGTCGAGCTCCTACTGTATGCGGATGCCATTCATGAGTATTCTAAAGGTCGCGTGCGAGCCGAACACCACCAAGGACAACGACAAGATGATGGAGTCGCTGGCCAAGCTCGCCGCGGAGGATCCGTCCTTCAGGTACAGCCGCGACGAGGACTCGGCGGCTTTCTTGATTCGTTGGTGCATTAGCTTCTTCTCCGATCTCACCGACGGGTAGCTACCAGAATGACACGGGGCAACCACTAGCTCTTCCATTCCATTCCTCCTCCTCCTCCCTCTCCTCCTCCTCCCTCCTCCTCCTCCCTCTCCTCCTCCTCCTCCTCCTCCTTCCTCCTCCTCCTCCTCCTCCTCCCCTCCTCCTCCTCCTCCTCCTCCTCCTCCTCCTCCTCCTCCTCCTCCTCCTCCTCCCCCTCCCCCTCCCCCTCCTCCTCCTCTTCCAAGCGCCGTTTGGGGCTCCCACGCGCGCGGGGCGCGCGGGCGGGGGCAGCCTTCCGTGACAGCAGCCCGCCTCTTCGACAAGCGCCGGGGCCGGCCCCGGGAAGGCCGTGGCCATGCCCCGGAGGCGCCCACGGGAGCGCCCACGGGCCCTCCGGAGTCTCCCGAGAAGAGCTTTCGGCAGGGGCCCCGACGCGTGTGCGGGGCCCCACCCGTCGAGCCCTCTCGGAAGGCCGCTCGCCTCCCGCCGTGCCCCCCCTCCCTCTCACCTCCCCTCTCCGCTCCCGCCCCCGCCTTCCCTTCTCGTCGCCGTGGTGGTCCTCCTCCTTCCCCTCCTCCTCCACGCTCCTCCTCCCCCCCCCTCCGGATCCTCCTCCTCCTCTTCCTTCTCATCGTCCGCTTCCTCCTCCTCGTCCTCCTCGTCCGCCTCCTCCTCTTCCTCCCGTCCTCCTCCTGCTCCTCCTCCTCCTCCTCCTCCTTCTCCTCCTCCTCCTCCTCCTCCTCCTTCCTCCCTCGTATTCCTCCTCCTCCTCCTCCTCCTCCTCCTCCTCCTCCTCCTCCTCCCTCGTATTCCTCCTGCTCCTCCTTCCCCGCTCCTTTCGAACATCCACCCCTGGACCCATCCAGGGGTGTGATCTTGTCAGAGTTGCGGGGGGGACCAGGCCGTGGCGCCGAGAGCGCTCCCCCCCCCCCATAGGGCCAAACAGGGCAAGCAGCTAGCCTTAAGTCGGGCATGTCCATCTACAGGGAGAATGTTTCAAAATTGTCAAAAATAGTCAGGGGACGATTCTTTGACTTGAGTATCTTGTGACGGTTTTCCCATTTTTCTTACAAAATCAGCTTGTCGGGGGACCTGCCCAGCCTAAGGCTAGCCCCAGACCTGGATTCTTGATCCTCGCTCGCCGATCAGAGGACAGCAACCAGACAGTGATCGAGGGCATGGGTGAGCTCCACCTGGACATCATCGTCGATCGCCTCAAGCGCGAGTTCAAGGTCGAGTGCTCGGTGGGCGCGCCGCAGGTGGCGTTCCGCGAGACGATCACGAAACCCTTCGAGGGATGGTGCCCGGGCATCCGGCGCCAAGAAGAGAGACCCGCCGCAGCTGGAGGAGGAGGAGGGGGGAGGAGGAGGAGGAGGAGCACGAGGAGGAGGCAGGACAGAGGAGAGGAGAGGATAGACGTGGAGGTAAGGGTGCAGGGAGGCGGGGAGGGAGGAGGGACGAGGGAGGTGGAGCAGGAGGGTGGGCGTAGAAGAGAGGAGGGAGGGATGATGGAGGAGGGAAGATGAAGGAATGAGGGAGGGTGGGAGGGCGGCAGGGAGGGAGAAAGGGAGGAGCGATCCAGCACGTGTGGCCGCGCGAAGTCGGAATCGCAGCGGATCGGCTGCGCCAGGACGCACAGCAGCGCAGTGCAGCGTCGAGCCCTATCGAATCACTGGAGCACCAGAATCGAGTCGGATCTAGCCGACCAACACCGATATCATAACGGATCGCTCGGACCGAAACGAAGCCTAGGAGGACGCGGAACACAGGGAAAAACGAGAACCAGGCGAAGACAGCCCAACGTCCCCGACGGCAGCAATGTGCCAGCTCCGACCATCCCGTTCCCCAGCATGACCTACAGCGGCAGAGGGCTCCCACAAATTCCCTTTGCAAACCTCCCCCCATCAGTCCAAACCCGCCAGTCCCATCACCTCTTTCCCTCGCCTACCCTCTCCCCCCTAGATGAGACACAGCAGCGTTGACGACAACCTGATATCCCACCAGCCCTCTTTAGGCGAAAGTGGTGAAACGAGTCTGAACACCCCCTGGGCGCAGGCTTCGCAACGTGGGGCAGATTACGGAGAGGCTGGCGGCAGTCTTGGAACCCGCTCGGAGGGACGCCCCGACAGCGGGCCCCCCTGGAGGCCGAGACCGCGGAGGAGTGCCAGGACCGAGACGGAGCATGCCGTCGGAGGTCTGGGCGCGTGTCGGCGGGGATCGTTCCGCAGCAGCGAAGCTCGATGCTGACCTGGGGGAGCGGACAGGGTGCCGAGATGCCTCGGAAGCTGGAGCATGTACACTACCAGTGGCGGGCGGCTTTTCAATCCCAGGACTTTTGTTGAGGGTCGGGGGCGACGTCGGGGTGGTGTGGTGTCATACTTTTTCCCCCGTTTTCCCGGGGAGACAACGCAGCATGTATACACCAGGATCCCATATACACCAGAATCCGCTTTCCCGTGCGAGATTCAGTGTGAGGCCAGATAAAGGCGTCGGTGTACAGGGCAGTTTTCAATACATCGGATTTGAACAAATAGATAGGTTTTTTAATACATGATTAATTTACGGATAAATGTATGCATGAACTCATCGTTGTTTTTGATGCTAAATCCCTGCTTCTTTAATGCGTGGTCCGCACTGTATAGAGTTCGGTTCCCTGCCTGGACCCCCCTCCCGGGGCGCGCTCCGGCCAGGCTCGGGCGGCGCCGCCCCGAGCGGAGAGACCGGACGCGGGCCTCGGCGCAGCGCGCCTGCGCACGTGGGCCCCGCGGCCAGGCGCTCGGCGGCCCCGCGATGGGGCGGCCGGCGGATGCCTTCCCGGGGGCCACATGCGAACCCGACCCCTGCCCCCCACGATTTCTGAGGGGGAGGGTGGGGTTCACGTCGTTCGGGAGCTCCCGAGTGAAGTGAACCCCACCCTCCCCTCAGAAATCGTGGGGGTAGGGGTAGGGTTCGCATGTGGCCCCCTATCCTTCCCCCCCCACCTTTCCTCTGCTAGCCTTGAGTCGGGCCTGTCCCTCCACAGGAGGAACATTCTCGACTAGACGAAAGAGTGACCTTTCGCCAGAGTGACCTTTGGTGGTGCGGGCCCAGTTCGGTCCCCCGATCGCCGAGCGCGATGCGGTAGTAGCGTTCTGCGTGCTTGTGTTGGGCCCCCCCGCGGCCCCCACAAAGCCGCGCACCAAAGGTCACTCTTACCCAGGGTCACTCTTGCGTGTAGCCGATATTCAAAAACAGTTAAACATTGCCAGGGGACGATTTTTTGGGCAGGCATTTTCTGACTCTTTAAGATTATCTTTGAGAGTGTTTGTAACTTTTCGCCCAAAATCCCCCTGTAGGGGGACAGGCCTGACCTAATGCTAGCCTTCTTTTCCTTTTCTTTCCTCTTCCCCCTGCCCGAGGCTGGGGCTACTGCAAGTTGTTGGCCTTGCCAGTTTTCGTCGCGCTGTCATTCCCCCTCAGCTCTCCTCCTTCTCCTCCACAGAAAGGGGGCTACGAGAAATTCGACTCACACTATTTCGATTTGGAATGCGAGACTAGTCTTGTATTAAGGTGAATTCCAATATCAATAGATATCCTCCCCCCCACCCCTGTCATCGTCGTCGTCGTCGTCCTCCTCCTCCTCCTCCTCCGCGTCCTCCTTTTCCTCGTCCTCCTCGTCCTCCTCGCTCTCCTCGTTTTACTTCCCCTCCTCTTCCTCCTCGTCTCCCCCCCCTGCAGGAATCATCCTCGGGCTGGATCGATCCGTGCCGCTGCTGGGCGTCGGAACGCCACCTCCAGAAACACGTCGTTATTTTTTCGCGGCGTCCCGATCTGAGGCATCCGGGAGTTCCCGAAAGCATCCGCAATTCTCCTGGGCTCGAGGGTGGAGGGGGCGGAAGCGGAGGAGGAGGAGGAGGAGGAGGAGGAGGAGGTGGAGGAGGAGGAGGCTGACGACGAAGATGACGAGGAGGGGTGTAGAACGAGGATGGGGAAGAGGGGGACGATGGAGACGGTGGCGACGACGAGGTACACGCACAAGAAGCAGTCGGGCGGGTCCGGGCAGTACGCCAAGATCAAGGTCATCGGCGTGCTCGCCGCCGCCTCCGCCTCCGTCGTCGTCGCCGTCGCCGTCGTCGTCGTCGTCGTCGTCGTCGTCGTCGTCGTCGTCGTCGTCGTCGTCGTCGTCGTGGTCGTGGTCGTCGTCGTGGTCGTCGTCGTGGTCGTGGTGGTGATCGTCGTCGTCGCGTCGTTGTTGTTGTCGTTGTCGTGGTCGTCACCGTGGTTGGCAACGTCGTTGTCGTGGTCGTGGTCGTGGTCGTGGTCGTAGTCGTGGTCGTCGTTGTCGTTGTCGGGGTCGCGGTCGTGGTGTTGGTGGCGGTGGTGGTATTCGTCGTCGTCGTCGTCGAGGTCGTCTACGAGCCGAACCCGGGCGAGGGCTTTGAGTTCGACAACAAGTGCACAGGCTCAATGTTGCCGCGGGAGTTCGTCGCGCCCGTCCTGAGGCAGGGGCGCCCTTGTCTGCGCCCAGCAGTCCTGCCCGCCGCTCCTCTCCTCCCTCCTCCCTGCCTCCTTTCTTCCTCGATCCTCCTCAATCCTTCTCCCTCCCCCCCTTCCTTTCTCCACTCTCCTCCTAGTCCCCCTCCTCTCTCCGCTCTTTTCCTCCTCCTGCTCCCTCCTTCTCGCCGTCTTCCTCGCCGTCACACTCGAAAGGTAGTCTTGCCTATCTCGCCCATTCCTTGCCTATGCCCTCACTACTTTGCTTCTGCGGCCATGTACGACAGCCTGGCCAGGTAACGTGCCCGTCTCAGACGCGCTTTTGACACCTAATGAAAGCGTCGAATTCTATCATCTCCTGACATTTATCGCGAAGGCCTTGCGGCTGGTCCCGCCGACCTTGAAACGGAGACGATGACGACAACTTCGGCGGCGGTGACGATGGCGACGCTGACGTGGGCAGGAGTCCTCAAATATACCTTTTGGGGTCTCTTCGGATGGCTCTCGGGGGAAGAATTTTGGCGCTTCTGGGGGGCCTCTTGGGGGCTTCTTGGGAGCCTCTTCGGGGCCTCTTCGGGCCTCCTGGGTACCTCTTTGGGCCTCTTGGGGTCTCTCGGGGACCTCTTGGGGCCTCTTGGGAGCCTTTTGGGGGCCGAGGGCTCGACATGTCCTCTCGGGTCCCCCGTCAGAGCACGCTCTTGGAGTCGTCTTGGGGGCCTCTTGGGCCGTTATGGAGGCTTGCTTTGGCTGTCTCGGGGTCCTCTTGGGATACTTCTGGGCCGTCTTGGAGTCCTCTGGGGCCGTCCTTGGGCGATCTTGGGGGCCTCTTGCGCCGTCTGGGAGCGTCTTGGGACCTTTCGGGAGGGCTCTTGGAGGCTTATTGGGGCGGGCGTCCGGGATGCATCCTGGGCGGTCTGGAGGGCGTGAAAGCGTTTCGGACCGATCGTTTGGCGATTGGGGACCCTATTGGACCGTCTCGGGGGCCTCTTGTGGCACTCTCGGCCTATCTTGGTACTTTCTGAGGCCCCGGGACCCCGAGGAGGTGGGGATGCGTATGTGACCTTGGTCCTCCCCCGCGACCCCCCCCCCGCATTTGACGGAGGAAGGATCAAAGGGACACGGCTTCCCTTCGACTCGACTATGACATTTTTTTCGCTGACACGCTTGAGGAGGAGGGTACAGGGAAAGGGGGCAACGGAGACGACGGCTGACGGAGGCGACGACTCGAACAAACAAGCCCCCATTCACGCCGACAGGGTCGGCGGATTTCTCCAGTGTCGCCGTCCTCAGACCGCCCCCTCTTCTTGGAGGGGGGGGGCGATGCTCTTTCCGGGCCCCAGATGCCACAGGAGCAAGGTCCGCGCGGCGCACCGCCGCTTTCCCTGGGGCGGGGTCGAGAGTCCCGGTGGCTCGGCAGAGGGGTGGGCGACCCAGGGGGCGGGGGCGGCAAAGAGGGGGGGGGATGACCAGGGGTGGGTGGGTCGGAGGCTGCGGGGTTGGAACGGAAGTGACCCCAAGCGGGAAATCGGTTTCGATTTCGGTTCGTGTCGTGCGTGCGGGCGAGGCGAAGCTGCGCGAGTTCCATCCAGAGTATAGGCCATCAGTGGCCAAAAGGGCCGCCCCCCGAGCGCCGGGCGTGTCACGGCGGTTGTCCTGGCGGCCCGGTTGTCCCGATTGTTGTGGTTGTCCCGATGGTTGTCCAGTTGGTCGTCCCGATGGTTGCCCCGATGGTTGTCCCGATGGTTGTCCCGATGATTGTCCCGATGATTGTCCCCATGGTTGTCCCAACGGTTGTCCCGATGGTTGTCTTGATGCTTGTCCCGATGGTCGTCCCGATGGTTGTCCCGATGGTTGTCTCGATGGTTGTCACGATGATTATCCCGATGGTTGTCCCGATGGTTGTCCCGATGGTTGATCGATAGATCGGTAGATAGATGTTGTTATATGTTGTCCCGATGGTCGTCCACGTGGTTGTCCCGATGGTTGTCCCGATGGTTGTCCCGATGGTTGTCCCGATGGTTGCCCCGATGGTTGATATATATATATATAGAGATATGGAATGGTATAGACATACATACACATATACACACATATGTATAGGTTTGTCGACATACATATGTCTACACACACATATATATACACAGTCGTATGTACATTTACATATGAACAGGTATGTGCATATTCATATGCACATATGGTTGATTCATGGATGGTTTGTTTCGTTGATGGTCAGACTGCTAGATCGATTGTCACACACATATATGTATAGGTGTATTTCTGTATATGTATAGATCGGTGTATATATACATATATGTGATTTTCCTATGTCGATAATTCGACATATAGGTCGATCGATAGATGGGCAGATGTGCGCGACAATAGGAAAGTTGAAGCAACCACCAAAGAACCCAGAGCCATCGCAAATTGGCCGCCTCCCCCTTTTCCCCCCAAACCTCCTTATCACCCGTAGGGTGGTCCTACCGGTATCATGGCGGGGGCAATGATTTCCCACCAGATTTTATGGCGCCTCTTCCTGTTTCAGTGCGGCCCCAGCCTCCCCCCTGGGCCGCGCACGTGCCGTCGGCCATGATCTGCGTCCCCCCCCTCTTGGATGCCCCTCTGTTGGACGCCCCCGACAGGGGCGGGAAGTATCGGGGGAAAAAGCACGGTGATCATGGCGTAAACGTCGCGGGACCATGGTCCATGCTGGCCGTCGTCGGTTTGCGAGGATGATCCACGAGTTGGCGATCGACACTGGCGTTTCTGCGAGGATGATGCACGAGTTGACAATATGTACCGGTTCGCGAGAACGATGCACGAGAAATATGGAAGGTCACTTGGATCGGCAACGACGTTTCTGCGTTCAGTTTTGGCCATGGTCCTCGCTTCCTCTCCTTCCACGCTGCGCTTATCTGCCAGGGAGCGGGAGGCCTCGTCGGAGACATCGGCGACCGGAGTCCCAGAATTCATGGCAGTACTTCCTCCTGGGCTCATCCTCCCCCGCCGCAGCCACCGAGTGGCCCCGCTCGCGAAAGCATCTCGACGTCGGATGTCTGCGCTCTCCTCCTCCCCACTGCTCCCTCCCGCCCGGAACAGAGCGTGCCGCAGTCGACGCAGCTGTTGCAGCCGTCGTCGGCAGGGGCGTCGGTGCCGCAGGGGGACGAGAAGGAGAAGGGGAGACGGAGGAGGAGGAGGAGGAGGAGGAGAGGAGGAGGAGGAGGAGGAGGAGGAGGAGGAGGAGGAGGAGGAGGAGGAGGAGGAGGAGGAGGAGGAGGAGGAGGAGGAGGAGGAGGAGGAGGAGGAGGAGGAGGAGGAGGAGGGAGGAGGAGGAGGAGGAGGAGGAGGAGGAGGAGGAGGAGGAGGAGGAGGAGGAGGAGGAGGAGGAGGAGGAGGAGGAGGATGAGGCTGACTGAAGCTGACTAGCTCGATCCATCCGAGGGATCGCTCGCCGCTACGGGCGCCGGCCACGAGGGAGAAGGAACACTCCAATCATGGCCGAAGAGGCAGCCCCCCAAGGGGCCGCCACCAACCCCAGGACCCCGAGCGAAGCCCACAGGGCCCACAGGAACCCGTGGGTTCTGCGGCCACCGAGGCCACAAGAACCCTCGGCCAGAAGAGAGAGTTCCACCCCCCACCACCTGTCATCTCTCCGAGAATTCCCCAAAGGCGAGGTAGTTGTCCTCGACCCGATGGAAATCCACAGACACACTCACGATGCCGTCGACCCCGCCGAATCCGAGGAGGCAATGGCACCCTCGATGAGCGCCAGGAAGGACTCCTCGAGCACACCGTGGGAAACGAGAGTCCTCGAACGAGTGCGGATCTCGTCCAGGCAGTCCTCCTTGGACAGCTCCTCCTCCTCCTTCCCCTCCTCGCCACAGCCGCCGTCGTCGTCGACGGCCGAGAGCACAGGGAGGGGCGGCAGCGGGGGCAGGTCCTGCTACTCTCCACCTCCTTCGGGCTGTCCTCCTGTTGCGCGTCACCGTCCGAGATGCCGAGCCAGGCCGTCTTGTGCCGACAGCCGAGGCCGCTGAAGCGCGGCAGCGTCTGGCCGAGCTCGGCCTTGCTGCCGTGGGCGCAGGCTGCACTCTTCTGTCCTAGGTCCTGCCAGGGATTCGGCCCTGGCGCCTTCCACAACACAACCCGTGTGAAGCTCGACGCGGTAGTCGATCCCCACCTGGTCGAAGTTGTCCGTCTCGAGGCGCCGGGGCGCGAGCCTGTCCTGCTGCGCCTTCAGCGTCTCCTGAAAGGCCCACCGGTTCTGCTCCCTCACGAGCTCGGAGCGGGTGTCGGTCTCCTTCGCGTTCAGTTGACCTGCGGCGGCGAAGGACTCCTCCTGCGCCGGCGGCGGCCACGCTCCTTCACGTCCTTCTTCGGCTTCCTGGTGTCGCCCGCAGGGTTCGCGCCCGCCCAGTCCGTCAGCATCGACGTCGTGGCGGCCTGCCCCTGGGCACTCCTGGGCACCGAGTTGCTCGTCAGCCGAGCGCGCGGCGCAGGCTGCTCCTCCTGGCGCCTGGTCGCCGAGCGGCTCCGCGAGCTTGTTCTCGGCACGGGTGGCGCAGACGGCACCGCCGTGAATCGACTCCACCTGCGCAGCTGCGGCCCGAAGGTGCCTGGCGGCGGCGACGGCGGAGCGGCCTTGCAGAGGGTGGTCACCGCATCCGTCGCCGAGCCATCCTCGATCGCCAACAGCAGCTGCGGCGCCTGCGAGGGCCGCGGTGGGGCCGCGGGGGGCAGCAGCGCTGGCGGCAGCCGCCGTGGCCGAGCCTTCGCGGGGATGGCCGCGGTGACCGCCGCTGTCACGGCCGCCGCCACCACCCGCTCGACCATCTCCACGCCCACAGCAGCCTGCCAGTTCTGCCTGACCCGAGGCTGCGTCGGCATCTCCTGCCTCCATGGCGCTGAATCTCGCCATGACATCCACCTGGCTCGGGCTCGCTGCGCCCTTGCGAGTTGCGCGAGCTTCCTGCTGAGGAGCGAGTACAGGTACGGTACCAGCACGGAGGGCCCGACCGATATCGCGGCGCGGCAGGGGCGCGGCCGCGACCTGGGCGGGGGGGGCGCTCCTCAGCCGAAAGGGCTAGGAGGAGGAGGAGGAGGAGGAGGAGGAGGAGGAGGAGGAGGAGGAGGAGGAGGAGGAGGAGGAGGAGGAGGAGGAGGAGGAGGAGGAGGAGGAAGGCGGATGGTGGGGGCAGCACGGGCCTCGCGCGAGGGGCACCGAGTCGGAGATGCTGAACGGCATCAAGGCCGGCTTCCCGGTGGTGGACGTGAAGGCTCCAGATCCCTCTTTCTCCGTCTTCCCTCCCTCCCTTCCGCTCCCCAGTCTCTCCCGTCTCCTCCTCACCTTCCCCTCGTCCTCCCTCCACTCCTCCTTCTCCTTGTCTCGCTCGCCTTCGTCGTCCTCCTCATCCTTACTGTCCTCCGCCACACACCCTCTACCTCTCCCCATCCCCCTCTCGCTGCGCGCGGCAGGAAGAGGGAGAGGAGGAGGACGGGATGGAGGGAGGGAGCAGGGGGGACGAAGAGAGGAGGGAAGGAGGGAGGGAAGGAGGGAGGGAGGGAGCATCACCTGCGTGCACTCAACCTACGCTCCACGCAGGGGTGCCCGGGCCGACCAGGATGGTTTGGCGGCCGCCCGGGCGGTGGACCAGAAGAGGGAGCGGTACCCCCCGCACGGGGGCGAGCTGGTCCCCCTAGTCTTCGAGACGGGGGGCCGGCCCAGCGACGAAGCAACCAGCTTCGTTTGCAGCTACGGAGTCGGCCTCGACGACGGCGACCGCTCCGAGCTGCTGGGCGGCCTCTGGCGGCAGATCAGCAGAACCCTCCAAAGGGGTAATGCTGAGATGCTGCTGAGCGCACTCGGGCGCTAGGCCGGCGGCCCCTTGGCACGGCCACCGCCAGTTGAACCACCGCCGGCGCGGTAACCACCACGACCGCCACCAGCGCCGCGACCACAACCGCCACCAGCGCGACAACCACCGCCGCCACCACCAGCACCACGACGACGACGACCCTAGGCACGACAACCCCCTCTTGGAGGCATCATGGGCCGTCTTGGGACGATCTTGGGGGCCACTTGGACCGTCGTGTTCGCTGTCAAGACGTAAATGCGAATGTGCTGAAAGTGTACGTTTTTCAAAAGAACTCTCGGCGATCCTCTGGAGGCGCTTTGGGATGTCTTGGGGGCCTCGTGGCCTATCTTGAAGCCATCTCGGATCGTCGAGGGGCTACCCTGGGCCGTCATGACGCTCTCTTCGACTGTCTTCGACTGTCTTGGTGCTCTGTCTCCGTCCTGTTGGGCTGTCTTGTGGCTTATGGGGGGCTCCAGAGGCCCCAGGGGTGCGTCTGCTCTCTCCTCCTATTTATTTCCTTCATATCTCTCCATCTCTCTTTCTCTCTCCCTCTCTCTCTCTCTGCGTCTGTCCGTTTTTTTATTTCTCTCTCTCTCTCTCTTTCTGGTTCTCTCTCTCTCTCTCTCTCTCGTTTTTTTTGTTTTTCCTCTCTCTCTCTCTCTTTCTCATTCCGCATGAAAGCGGTGCAGGGCCCAGGGATTATTGCGCGTGTGCGTATCTAAGACGCCTATGGCAAGTCACATCCGCCCCTTGCGTTTTGGCCAGAGCTTTGTGTTCCCCCAGCCGTTGCGGAAATCCTTCGGGGAACATGTGAAGGAGAAATAAGAAAATAGGGAGGCGAAAAGAGGAAACGGAGGAGGATGAGGAGGCTCTCGCGTTAAGTCGGGAATCTCAAAAAATAGTAAAAAATAGCCTGGGGACGATTTTTCGACTATTTTCAAGTATTTTCGAATACCTTTTCGGATTGTTTTTCATTGATCGTCTTAACTCCACCTGTAGGAGGACGTGCCCGACTTAACTCTCGCGCTTCTTATCATGCGCAAGTGCGGGTCGGAACAGTCGCCGATTGGCGCGGGCCTTCGCGATCCCTCCCCCTCCCCCCATGGAGTAGGTCTTGGCTGTTTTTGGCGCCTGTTTCGAGCAGGCGCACTGTTGCAAACTGTCGCATTAAGCACAGGTCCGGAGCCAGCTCCCCCTCCCCCCAAGGCTCATCTCGATTTCTCCGATTCGATTCGGTTCGGCTTCGGTGGCTCCCGATTCCGATTCGATTCGACTCCAGATTCCGATTTGGGCTTCGATTTCTCAGTGGAGGCCCACTGGCCTACGGATTTTTCTGTCGACTCGACGTTTCCCGACTCGGCTGCCGATTTTCGTCGATCCGACTTATTCCGATCGCTAAGGGCGCCCTCGAAGGCGCGAAGTTATTCGCACTTCGCGCTTCGCGGTTTGGCTCCGATTCATGATCTTCCTCTTCTCCCCTGGGAGGCGGCGCGAGGGCGCGAAGTTATTCGCACTTCGCGCTTCGCGCAGCGCGAAGCGCGAAGTTGGGAGCCCCTGCAAAGAGAGCTGGAGGGCGAAAGAGGAGGGGAAGGGAGGGGGGGAGGGGAGGAAGTGAGGCGTAAGAGTTGGGAGCTGGGAGAGAGTGGGACAAACCTCAGGGGGGAATTCCACGAGCTCCAGGAGGTTTTTTCTACAACCCCTGGGGGGAGTTCCACAAAACAGGGAGGGGGGGGGGTCACAAACCTCGCGGGGGAGTTCTACAGACCTGCAGGGAGGTTCCACAGATCCCAGAAAGGGTTTCACAAATCCTGGGGGGGAGTTCCACAGACCCCGGGGTGTGGTTCCACAAACACAACACCAGGGGGGAGTTCCACAAAGCACAGCGGGGTTCAACAAACCCTTGGGGGAGTTCCACAAACCCCAGGGCGGTCCTACAAACCCTGGTGGTAGGAGTTCCGCAGACTCTGGGGGATCCTGCGAACCTCGCGGGGTAGTTTCACAACAAATCTGGAAGGGGGAACTGCGCAAGGCCAGGGGAGGTTTCACGAGCCTCGCAGGTGTGAAATCCACAGACCCCAAGGGGGAATTCTACAGACCCCAGGAGGGGTTTCGCAAACCCGGAGGGGGAGGTCCACAAACCCCTGGGGAGTTCCACAGACCCGTGGGGGGCTTCCACAAACCCCAGCGGGGTTCAGCAAACCTCGAAACCCAATGGGAAACCTCGAGGGGATTTCACAACCCCTGGGGAGACTTCCGCAGACCCCGAGTGTGGAGGTCCGCAAACCCTTTGGCAGTTCCGCACACCCAATGGGGACTGCCACAGACCCCAGCGGCGTTCAGCAAACCTCGGAGGGGGGGGTCCCTCACACACCGGGGGGCCTCCGCAAACCACGAGGTGAGTTCTACCCTGCCCCAGAGCGGTTCCCGCACATCCCAGGGCGGAGCTCTGCAGACCCTGGG